GAGACCATTCAGGTATGACCTAAATCAAATTCCTTATGATTATACAGTGGAAGTTACAAAGAGACTCAAGGGATTAGATCTGATAGACAGAGTACCTGAAGAACTATGGACAGAGGTTCATGACATTGTACAGGAGGCAGGGATCAAGACCATCCCCAAGAAAAAAAAATGCAAAAAGGCCAAAATGGTTGTCTGAAGAGGCCTTACAAATAGCTGAGAAAAGACGAGAAGTGAAAGGCAAAGGAGAAAAGGAAATGTATACCTGTCTGTATGCAGAGTTCCAAAGAATAGCAAGGAGAGATAAGAAAGACTTCCTCAGTAGTCAGTGCAAAGAAATAGAAGAAAACAACAGAATGGGAAAGACTAGAGATCTCTTCAACAAAATTAGAGATACCAGGGAACACTTCATGCAAAGATGGGCACAAATAAAGGACAGAAATGGTATGAACCTAACAGAAGAAGAAGTTATTAAGAAGAGATGGCAAGAATACACAGAAGAACAATACAAAAAAGATCTTCATGACCCAAATAACCATGATGGTGTGATCACTCACCTACAGCCAGACATCCTGGAGTGAGAAGTCAAATGGGCCTTAGAAAGCATCACTATGAACAAAACTAGTGGAGCTATTTCAAATCTTCTAAGATGATGCCGTGAAAGTGCTACACTGAATATGCCAGCAAATTTGGAAAACTCAGCAGTGGCCACAAGACAGGAAAAGTTCAGTTTTCATTCCAATCCCTAGGAAAGGCAATGCCAAAGAATGTTCAAACCACCGCACAACTGCACTCATCTCACACACTAGCAAAGTGTGGCTCAAAATTCTCCAACTTAGGCTTCAACCATCCATGAACTGAACTTCCAGATGTTCAAGCTGGATTTAGAAAAGGCAGAGGAACCAGATATCAAACTGCCAACATCCGCTGGATCATTGAAAAAGCAAGAGAGTTCCAGAAATACATTTATTTCTGCTTTATTGATTATGATGTCAAAGCCTTTGACTGTGTGGATCACACAAACTGTGGAAAATTCCTCAAGAGATGGGAATACCAGACCACCTTATCTGCCTCCTGAGAAATCTATATGCAGGTCAAGAAGCAACAGTTAGAACTGGACTTGGAACAACGGACTGGTTCCAAATTGGGAAAGAAGTACATCAAGGTTGTATATTATAACCCTGCTTATTTAACTTACATGCAGGTTGAGTCATGTGAAATGCCAGGCTTGATGAAGCACAGGTCGGAACCAAGATTGCTGGGAGAAATATCAATAACCTCAGATAGGCAGATGACACCATCCTTATGGCAAAAAGTGAAGAACTAAAGAGCCTCTTGATGAAAGTGGCTCTCCTCTTTAGGAGAGTGAAAAAGCTGGCTTAAAACTCAACATTCAAAAAACTAAGATCATGGCATCCAGTCCCACCACTTCATGGCAAATAGATGGAGAATCAATGGAAACAGTGAAAGACTATTTTCCTGGGCTCCAAAATCACTGCATATGGTGACTGTAGCCATGAAATTAAGAGATACTTACCCTTGGAAGAAAAGCTATGACCAACCTAGACAGCATATTAAAAAGCAGAGATATCACTTTGCCAACAAAGGTCCATCTGGTCAAAGCTATGGTTTTTCCAGTAGTCATGTATGGAGTGAGAGTTGGCCCATAAAGAAAGTTGAGCACCGAAGAATTGATGCTTTGAACTGAGGTGTTGAAGAAGACTCTTGAGAGTCCCTTGGACTACAAGGAGATCAAACCAGTCAATCCTAAAGGAAATCAGTCCTGAATATTCACTGGAAGAACTGATACTGAAGCTGAAACTCCAATACTTTGGCCTCCTGATGCAAAGAACTGACTCACTGGAAAAGACCCTGATGCTGGTAAAGACTGAAGGCAGGAGAATGGATGACAAAGAATGAGATGGTTGGATGGCATCACCAACTTGATGGACAAGCTCAAATGCAAGCTCTGGAAGTTGGTGATGGACAGGGAAGCCTGGCATGCTGCAGTCCATGGGCTTCCAGAAAGTCGGGCACAACTGAGCAACTGAATTGAACTGACCATGTGGAGCTTTCATTCCCTTAGCAGTGACCATTTGAACTTTTTCATTTGCAGGTCATTTTCCTTGGAGAAGGAAATGGCAACCCACTCTAGTATGCCCGCGTGGAAATTTCCATGGATGGAGGAGCCTGGCAGGCTACAGTCCATGGGGTTGCAAAGAGTCGGACATGACTGAGCGACTTCACTTTCACTTTCTTTGACAAACAAAATAGGGTCTTCAGCATTCTGCTTTCTTTATATCATTCATCAGCAGTATACCTTTAGTATCAGAAAGCAGATCTATCCCCTTTTCATCTCTTTGTTGATTTAAATATAACTTTAAGTACCCCAAGTCTTCCTTAGCAATTCTTGCAAGTCTGTACTCATTTTTCCATTTGCTATTATTATAGATCTAAGCCTCCTCCTACATTTGCCTTAATTTGACTTCACCTTTTCTATATTTTTTAAAAATTGATATCAGGTTGATAAAATAAAAAAAATTTAATTGTTGGAGTTGGATGATACACATAGGGTTCATTAGGCTAGTCTTATTACTTTTGAAACTTATCAAAGAAAAAGTCAAACAAATATATAAATACAAATGTTTACACACACACACACACAGAGAAAGTGAGAGAAGATAGCCCCCATTTCTTCTTCATCAGGATGTAATTTTCTCCCTAAACTTTATTTTATTGGTTGGGGTAATTTGCTTTTTTTTTTTTGGTCATGCCGCATAGCTTGCAGAATCTTAGTTCCCCAACCGGGAACTGAACCCAGGCCATGGTAGTGAAAGCACAAGTACTAATCCCTGGACTGCCAGGGAACTCAAATGGATAATCTGGCTTTAACTAAGGTCTGAATTGCACTTTCTCTGAATTTCCCAATCCTTTTATTTTCCAGCCCAGATTCCTATGCCATTTTTTCTTTGACTGCCTTTTCCTCTGAACTGTTTGAAGTCTACATATAAAAAGTCTAGTATATATTCTAATTATGCCTACTTCTCCCATCCTATCAGGAATACAAATTTTAAAAGATTTGCTCACTTAGGAGTAGATTAGTTCCCCCATTATCCTTTAGGGCAGTGGTTCTCAATGTGTGGTCCTTATAGCGGCACCAACATCACCCAGGAGTTTGTTAGAAATGCAAATTCATTCGTCCCACTCACCTACTGTATCAGAATCCCTGGGGATGGGGCTTAGGGGACTCTCCAATTGATTCTTATGCACATTAAAGTTTGAGAACAACTACTTTAAGAAAGTAAACTGTTCCAATTCAAAAGCTGTCAAGACAATGTGTTTTAAACTGTGATTTCCATCAAGTGCCTTAACACCAAAAGTCCCTCATACTACTGCATACTTTCATGACTCTCTTATGTCTGCAACTCATCACTTCTGCCCTTGACCAAGAGACATACAACACAGTTCCACTCCTAGCATTGATGCCGTTTCTCTTTTTATGCTTCTCTGGGTGTTCAGCATCCTTCCACTTGCAGGATCTCAGATCTCAATGCATGTACATAATTTCTTGCCACATCACAATATTACATCTCTCCTTTAAACAAATCTGAATCTTGCAAAAAAAAAAAAAAAATCCTTCCATAGTTACATTCAAGTGGTAAGGCCAATTTCAGAAAGTCACCATGATAGCCAAGAGATATTTATTACTCTCTCTTATAACCAACTTTATCATCCAAATTTTGTATGCTGTTATGAAGACTTTGGAGCCTCTAAGTATTAGATCCAACTAGCTTCCATATTGTTATCTTCTGTGAATCCCTGGATACGGTCTCCATTTATTCCACTTATCATGTTTTACTTGCTATCTAACAGGTGTTTGTCAGTTCATCACTTGTTTTTCCGCTCTTTAGCAATCTTAGTCTGTAACTGTCCTGAACAGACCAACTAGTCCAACTAGTTCCTAGGAAAACGTGTACAGGAACTGTACTCCACCCCTCCTTCCATATTCTCCCAAACTCAGTGAACATGATGGCGATTATACTAAATGCAAGTTTTTCTTCCTACACTTTTAAATTAGCGCTTCTATAATGATGATAAGCTAAAATTATAGCTTAGCCAGAAAGGAACTGGTAGGGCCAGAAATATGGAAGAGTGAATACAAATTTAACAGTTTGATTTTTTTAAAAATTCTTTATTTGAGCTCATCCCTTTCCTAGGTTCTTCTGTAAACAGGAATATAATAAATACTACCAGGCTAATGAAAAATTATTTGCTTTCAAATCAATTTATCTGTGATGTTAATTTTCTTCTTTAGAAGTAGGAAAAAAGGTGAATGATTTCAACTGACTCAATTGTATATTCCAACATGAATTATGAGATAACTAGCATCAGTGAATGGCACATAGGTCAACAGTTAATTTTACATACAGACAAGTTCCAAGTTTTATAAGATCTAAGCTGACGACATAGAAGAAACACGGCAGTAGAGATGCACAACATTTATGTTCAAAAATACAAGAATATTCTGAAGATGTATAGTTTGTTTAAACTGGGTTGAGTAACAAATAAGTTTTGAAAAGCCTATCCCTTATCCAGCAGATCTTCCCAACCCAGGAATTGAACTGGGGTGTCCTGCATTGCAGGCAGATTCTTTACCAACTGAGCTATCAGGGAAGCCCCAAAGATCTCTGAAGTCCTGGTTAAATCTCTTTCTCTGACCAGCATGTCTCACACAGAGCTAATGCTCAATGAATGTTGCTGCTGAATAAGGACCTTTAAAAAAGATGGCAGTCCTGTGAGGGATAGATTAACTTGAACCAATAATTCCTTTTTTCATTCATTCACTCAACATTATTAAACATTTATAATATAATGCTTTCAGTCATTCAATAAATACACAAAGTGTGAAAACATAATATGGTAAGGAATATTTATACTTCCCTATTTTTTAGGAATTCTATTGCATACTTCACATATAGTTTTATGAATGTAAATGACCTTACCTCTCTTACAGATAGCTGTGGTGGGAAGGAGACTGACAATACCAAGTTGGTGAATTCAAACCCAGAGGCCTCAACCTTTTGGCACACCTAAAAAAGTATTACATAGAAAGTATTTTTTATTCCATAAAAAAAGTGTTACACAGATTTCTAGGAATTGCCGAAACAAACCTGAAATAAAATATTTGATGTCACAAGGCACCAAAAGAGCCAGGACTCACCTGCAGAACAATCTATCAAATGTCAAAATACTTTTCTATTAAGTCACCTGATAATTCAGGAACGATTTTAAACAAAATAGAGCCAAATAGGCACTCTTAACACCTGGCGACAAAAAGCAATCTCACCTTCAATCATGTAACTTTCACAATGTTATAGACACTGAGAGGTCTCAAAAAGAACTGTTTCTCTAACTCCTTAGCTATGTTAAATAGCAAAGGGGAAACTGCCATATTTTGTTCAATTGAACAGCACTCAGAACAGAAATACATGGATACATGATTTTTTCAGACATGTTGATAAAAAGGTAATTTGGGAATAGTAGACTTCTTTTTTTAAAAAAATTAAGAAAATATTCCAATGATCCAATTGTGTGAAACAAGTTAAAATGAATGGCATTCTTCCTTTGGATACAGGAACTATAGGCCTTAGAACTGAAAATCTTTATATATTACACATTAATAAAAAAAAATCAGTGTACCTTTTTAATGAACTCTTTTTCACAGAAATCTTGAAGAATTCCTAGGCATACATTGCATACATTTAAATTCGAATTCTTGGAAGAACTGCTTCCATCTTCAGTCACCGAGAGCTTTCCCTCTCCATTTTGACTCAGACTATCCATCCCATCAGTCCAATCTTCTGGTTCTTGGAGTCGAATTTTCTTGGGAGGTGGGTTTGGAACTTCAGAAACTAATTCATCTTCTTCAGCTTCTAGAAATTTTTGTAGTTCACTGAGCAACTCCTGAAAAGTTAATTAAAAAGAAAAAGTAATGACTCTTTGACAATATCCTTAAAGATAAGATGAAGCATGAAAACAGGAATGAAAATTATGATATATCATAGACTTATACAATGCTGATTTACATCAATTCTGGAGCAACGAATTTGTTTTATTAACCAGCACTGGTTTTCGGGAGAATTTAGAAGAGATTTACCCAGCTCCTATAATACGTGTGTGAATATTTTTTCAAAAGGGTTTCATACATCAGTGGAGCTAAATTCTTAAATCTGAGATGGAAAAGCTCCATTAACAAAGTTTCTAATTTGATTTGTAGTTCTGTTTTGATGATCATTCACTTGCTAATTTCAGCAACACAAACAAAATAAAAAACTTCAATTCTAATTATTAACAAGTAGAAATGCAAACTGAATTTCCATTCATATTAGGTTATTTAATAATCTCACAACCACAAAAACCTCATATGTTCAATGTTTAATATGAAATCTAAAAAATTAGATTAAAAGTCTACTAAGTAAAAATAATTTCAAGGCAATTAACTACACAAAGGTAAACAGATGCTGGCAATGCTGAAATTTGGCATCATAATTACATACCATTAATAGGCAATTATTGAAAAAAGCTCTTTACTACATTCTGGTTTCCCTAATTTCTGTCACTCTTAGTATTGGAATGTAAATTGTGGCACTGCTTTCAAACATTCTCATATTTCAGACATACCACTCATCTAAATAGTCAGAAGACTTTTCTTCTGTTTTGTCTAAATTAGGCAGATATTATTCAGTTGCTGAATAAATATCCCTTTGAAATTCACTCACATTACAATTCACTGACTCCAAAGGGAAAAATCTTTCACTCAAACAAATTTAATTCATTTTATTAAGACATTAGTTTTCCTATTAAATCTTTATTAAATACATATATACACATACAGGTATATTATGGCCCACACAAATATGTTTATTATTACCTAAGATCTATAATGTCAATAAACATTGTACAGATATATTAATATGTATGTGCACATGTATGACATGATTAGAAAATACCAAAATATAAGTATATTTACCCAATAAAGTCCTCAGATATTTTCATGTTTATTTACATAAAATATTAGTTGGTAACACTGTCTCTATACAAAACTTACAACATATGTATAAAACAATGTATCTGAAAATAATTGAGCAGAGTTACATAAACTCAATCTTATTACTTTGTAGTTATTATGCATATAAATGATATAGATATATTTATTAGTTATCATAGCATATGTACCATTTTCAGTTTTCAAAGTGTTTTCACATACGTTATTAGATATTGTCCCTTAAAATCCTGTGAGGTGGATGTTATCATCAATCCCATTTACAGAGGAGAAAACTGAAGCTGGAAAGTGGTGGAACTGGGGTTCAAATCCATGTCTTCTAGCTCCAAATTCTAGGCTTTGGATTCAGACAGACAGTTCATATCCTAGCTTGCTCACTTAATAGCTGTGTAACTTTGGGCAGGTTGCTTAACCTCTCTGTGCCTCAGTTTCGTCATCTGAAAATAGAGACAATCATAGTATGTACTTACCTAATAGGTTATTATGAGGATTATATGAGCACTTGACATATAAAAATGTATATGAATACTGGACATAATTACTAATTTCCAAGATAATAGAAACGATGAATACATAGAAGGAATGACTGCTGTTGCTAACTCCTGGAAAATTTTTTTTCTGTCTGTGCCATATGCAGCATGTGGGATCTTAGTTCCCCAACCAGGGATTGAACCCATGCCCCCTGAAATGGAAGCACAGATTCTTAACCACTAGTCAGCCAGGGAAGTCCCTGGGAAATTTTTTTTTAATTATAGGAAACTGAGCGTGCAGGCATGCATGTGTGTGAATTTGTACTGCTTATATAAGTACATATTTATATACATATATAATTACTATCTGCCTCTGAAATGAACATCACTATTAGAGTAAAATATATTTCACAAAATGTTATATATCGTATATGAAATATTCTATAAAATGTCAAAGCTCTCTGTATATTACCATAAATGTCAAAGACCTCAGTACATTACTTTTTTGTCATGAATAGCAGCAAGTGATGATAGATGATAAGCATTTACTTCTAGAAAGTTACAAGTACCCCTATCTGTACATAGAAGTGGTAAAATAGAAAACAGAAAAAGAAGAAAAGGCAACCAAACTCATAATGCTTCCAATCCCTTCTGTTATATTTTACTAAAATCTGGTGAGAAACACTATTTTGTGATATCCTGTCTAGATAGTCTTTAGGAAAGGTCTATGCAAACATTAAATGTACCAGGGAATTGCTCCACAAAGATCCTACTACATTAAATGCTACATATAATCACTTAAGAAGGAACTTACATTTATATGGTAATGGAAATTCTAAAACTATCATTATTTTATTACAGTTTTTTAATGAAGAGTTATGAACAGACACTTGCTCTCAAATACACAGGTACTAACTTTAAAAAGAGAGACCCTTTCTTAACTTTAGCAACAAAGAAAATACCTTGTAGGGAAGTTTGTATGGTGCATGAAAATCCACACCACAGAATCTGAAGATACATCTTGGACAGGTACCAGTACTGAGCAACAACTGGGCGACACGCTTGTTTTCCACAGTCAGAGGAAACATATTCAGTAACTGCAACTAGAAAAAAAGAGCAAGTAAAACTAATGAGCATCTTTTGTGCTTTACTTTCACAGACAAATATATGGTCACCTTTAAGGATAAGCCTCTTTAAGGATAAAAAGTTTATATTTGGAAATCACTATTTGGTACTTTCCAATAACGTTGCTTTCATTACATCCATATTGAAACATAAACTTGAAGGCACTTTATTAGATGGATCAGGTAAAGGTTTCTAGTTGTCGAGGACTCAACATTCTAGATTATGATAAGTGTATCAACATAACTAAATCAATCAAAAGAAATAAAAATAAAATATGGTTGTCTCTGGGGAGGATAATGAAAACAAGAATAGAGACTGCAATTTTGCTTTTTATTTTGTACCATTCAGTATTGTTTGAGAACAGAGAGTAGTAAATTCGATCAACTTTCCTGTTAGAAAGAAAAAATGAGTTTACTAGCAGTTTCCCTGGTGGTTCAGTGGTAAAGAATCTGCCTGCCAATGCAGGAGACAGTTTCAATTCCTGATCCAGGAAGATTCGCCATGCTGCAAAGCAACTAAGCCCATGTGCCACAAGAGAGTAGTCCCCACTTGCCACAACCAGAGAAAAGCAGGTGCAGCAATGAAGACCCATACAGCCAAAAATAAATATTTTATAATTTTGCTAGAAAAAATAATCAGATCATTCTATGTTACGTAATACTCGACTGACCTTAATGATAGTTAAGTAGACAAGTATTCAAAATAAAATGATCAGTGGATTCAAAAATGTCAATTTTACTTTGATGAAATAATAACTAAAAAACAACCAACTATTAACAAAGTGAGAACAATCTATTCTTTCCATACACAAGTAAAAACTCCAACAAAAACAAATTAAATGCAAAATATTTCAGAGTAATTGTTGTCTAAAACAACTTGCTACTTTTCAATTTGAAAAAAACTCACTTAGAAGTAAATACTGCATAGAGAATGGGCTCTTGTTGCCTGGAAGGAGGGGTAATAAAAATTAAATTATGGAATCATTCTTTTTGGGGGCAGGGTCTTCTGATTAATGAATCAGCTCACATTAGTTTAAAATGAGTAACTAGTGATGTTTTATAAAACTGTAATTGCATGGTAATGGTACTGAGGTACTGATAAAAGACTGGCACCTTTAATTTGTGCCAAGTCATAATTCAAACGAACTTGCTTAATATTAGTGGGAGAGTGAGGCTCTTACCAACTGCTTACTATGAAGATGTGACTGTTAGAATCAGTTTATGTTTTCTAATCTTTTAAACCCACTACTAAATGCAAGTGTCTAAATGTTTGTGGCCACTTATCAAGAGTAGATCCTTGAGAGAAAATAATGAAGACGGGTAGATAGTTCTTTGGAATTCTTCACCATAAAAATCAGTTGAGCAGGCAAGACTACAAACAACAGATTGCCTGTGGCTGGGTTCTAATTCAGTTATATATGTGCAGTTGGGAGGGAGGGGCAGGGAAGGAAATCAGGTCTGTCTGGACACACTAGTGAGAACTTTTCAGACACCCAGACTGGGAAACACTGATTTAGGGTTGCCTAAGCAAACTGGAGCTTGGAAAGTAAAGAATATGTGGAGAACACTCTTTACAAAACGAAGCTCTGTGTGACTATTATTTACAAAAGATCTGAATCTCTTTCCCCAGCCCATTTAATCTAGTAGTTTGGTGCTGAGAAGGGGTTGGCATTCTTTAAGAAGCTGATTGTCAGCATTTAAAGTGTATCCCTGATGCACTGGCCTCACAGAGAAACTGTTTCTATCTTGCCCCTTTATCTTTTCTCCTCCTTTCCATTAGCTAAGGTTAAGGATCTCATTTAATTGAGAATTAAGCTTTAACTAGAAAGAGAAACAAATAAACCCTCCTGACCAATAAATAAATCCGTGAGTGACGTTTAAAAAGGACACTTTGTACTGAAGGTTTCGCTGGAGACTTTACTCTTTGTTAAAATGTATGTTTTACCTTTCCTTTGGCTTAAAGACAATGTTTGTTCCTCTAGTGGGTTGACTAGAATGAAAGTATCACGCAAGTCAGTAAATGACACATCATAATCTCATAGCTCTAAAAACTTATTAAACCTGTTCAGAATTAGGAAACCTCCCGATTTGAGTAATTTGAAGAGGTCTTAAGAAGCAGAACAAAACCCTCTTCTGTAATTATGTTAGTGGATTTAGAAACTTCTCAAGATCATTTTCATCTGGCAACCATCTAGCGACTTCCCAAGCACGTTAACACTATTGGGAGAAAATACGCTGTGCCTTAAATTTGGTTTCAAATGTACAGCGCTGAAATGTTAGGATTTCATAAAACATGAGAAATAAGTTATTGCATATTAGATTTATTATCTTTGAAAGCAAGCCTTGAGAAATACATCCCGTGCTGTAAGGTTTTCATTGTTGGTTGCCTTCAAGGTATTTGCTTTTAGTTTACATGTGTACACAAACTGGAACGTATTGCAACAGAACCTCTTCCCAGGATCCCAGGATCTCTAGAGTCTCCTCTCCACAAACCAGCGGTAACTCGCCCCGTCCCTGGTTTACTAGAGGAGAGGATGAATTTTCTCTTCACACCTCCGATGATTACAGAAACTATTTATGGCAATGGAGCAGACAAAATACCCAGGTTGAGTCTCACATCCTGGGATCTTTTAAAACTCATTTTCACACAGAAGGGGGTCATTCATTTTGTGGGGTGGGGTGTGGATTTTTTAAAGAAGGAGGTGCTCGTAACTTCATCGCGCTACCGATACACTCTGCAGTGGAATCTAATTTCTGGAAAGTTCATCCTCAGGTCTAACCTCGAGTCTTTGGTCAACCAAGCAAGCTCTTCTCCCCTCCACTCGGATCCAAAAAACTTCCCACGCACCCCTCCTTGCTAACAAATCCTCTCCCGAAGGAAGGCAACGATCCCCTCCATCCACACCTCTCCGGCACCCAGTCCGCAACCCTTCACCTCAGACCTCCTAGCCTCACCTTCTCCCAGGACGCCGGAGCCTGAAATTTAACCCCTTCCAGCCCTCCGAGAGAAAGGGGAAGACTAAAAACAAAGCACCTATTGCGTCTAGCAATTCTGTTCCCCGAGGAAACAAGAGCTTTAGAACTAAAGTACCAGGTGCCTCACGCGAGGACTGAGAGAACTCTCTCTCGCCTGCATGTTGGCAAGGAAATCAGTCAAGATGCCTGTCCAGTCGCAACACACCCTGCCTCCTCCGCGGGGGGAGAAGTGCGTGGGACATTACTCCGGAAGGGTGCGGGACTTGTCCCAGGGAAGCCTCCGTGGGATTCCGACGTCTGGGGCACTGTAGCCGCTGCCGGAAATATCGATGAACTCTTATCCTCGGTTTAGAATGGAAATTCTTTCTAGGACAAATAAAAAGAGAGCATTTCTTCCCATGGATTAGTGGTATAGACCTAGACTGTAATCCCAAACAGCAAAGCACTACGAGCCACATCCTGACGTCAGGGGCGGGCCGGGTGGAGGGCTCGGCGCTCTGCAAGTTGTGCCTGGCGTTCTAGCGGACGGTGTCCCGGGGCCTGGAGAGTCCCAGTTCTGAGCGGGAGCTGAGAGGAGGCGGAGATGGCGTCCCAGCCGCCGCCTCCCCCGAAACCCTGGGAGACCCGCCGGATTCCGGGGACCGGGCCGGGACCAGGACCCGGCCCCACTTTCCAGTGAGTGTGCGATTTCAGGCCGCGAGTTTTGTGGGCCGCAGCGCGTTTCAGGCCGCGAGTTTTGTGGGCCGCAGCGCGGACTTGGCAGGAGGCGGTTGAGGCCGTTTGTTGGTGGTCAGGTGTGCCCTCCCCCTCTTCACCAGTTCCCACCCGCACTCTTTCGGGGGTCGAGGTGCAGCCGGGGCGTCTGCAGGGGTAGTTTCGGCGTCAGATAGCTGTTTCTGATTCGGCAGCTCTAGATAGCGACGTTCTCCAAGGGGTTCTTGTGCGCCTGTGTGGGTGAGGGACACTGAACTTCTTGATTCTTTCCCCCCCGCCATCCCCACCTTAAAGAGACTTTCGGTCCTTTATAGGTGAGAAAGACATCTGCCCAGCCCCTCTCGTTAGGGAGCAAAGTCTCTAAAGCCTTTAACCATCTCTCTCCAAGTTGGTGAAAGCCCAAAAGGTCACTTTTACGCAATTACAACTCAAGCCTCTACTGTGCGTTCATTTCCAGCATAACCCAGCATTGTTTGGGGTAGAGATTTGTGAAAGCAACTTGGAAGCGGGAGTTCAAAAACCCTGGCCTAAGGGTGGCCTTTGTGTGCTAGAGAGCGAGTGATTTTTTTTTTCTAAGGCCTGTGGTTTTTTTGTTTGATTTTAATTAGTGTTAAATGAGTCTACAACTCAAAAAAGGTTAAAATAGAATAAAAGAGAATTTCACAGCCTGTGTGATTTGTGTTGGGTGGATCTGGACTTCTTTTTAATTTTTAAAAATTTTATATTGGGGTATAGTTTTATTTTATTCTGGAACATAACAACAGTGTTGTGTTTCAGGTGTACAACAAAGTGATTCAATTATACATGTATCCTTTTTCACATTCTTTTCCCATTTAGGTTATTTCAGAATATTAAGCGGCTTTCTCTATACTATACAGTAAATCCTTGTTGATTATCTAAATACAGCAATGTGTACAAATCAATCCCAAACTCCCAATCTATTCTTCCCCCACACCCTTCGCCCCTGGTAACCATAAGTTCATTCTCTTAAGTCTGTGGATCTGGACATCTTAATTCAGATGGTGAGACTGGAATGTCAGATCACCTACTATGGTACATTTCCTTACATAGAAATCCTGAACATACTGGAATGAATTTCTGCTATGTTCTGAAATCTTGTTATCTTTTATTAAGATGTTTGAGCACAATTGCTACTTTATTTAATAATGATAGGCACATAAGTAATAAGGTTTAATTATGCTGTTAAGCTGGGTGACACTTTCTGCTACCTCTTTTTATGAGTGGTTGACTTTCTTTAAAAATTTGGAGTGCTCTTGGGAAGAGCAAACTTTTATTCTTGCTTCTGGTTAAGTTCTGTTTATGTAAATTAATCATTTTCCCACTTTTTAAGAAAATGTGAATTGTAATATGTTAAACACCTAAAGACTGGTAGAGATAAGATGATAAATACTCATGTATTAACTCCCAGCTTTAAGCAGTTGGTAACATTTTGCCAGATTTGCCACAGGTCTTTTAAAAAATAAAAATTAGAGCAACAGTTAAATCCTCCCATTCTTCCTTCCTACAGTAACTACTGTCACTATTTGGTGTTTAGTGTGCATAATGTTTTTGTTGGAGGAGGAAATGGCAACCCACTCCAGTATTCTTGCCTAGGAAATCCCATGGACAGAGAAGCCTGGTGGGCTACAGTCCATGAGGGTCATAAGAGTCAGACACAACTTAGGAACTAAACCACCACCACCAGTGTTTTTATACTTTAGTATTTGGGTTTGTGTGTACATTACATATGTATATATGTATTATTATTTAGTATATTTTTAAGCTATAAATAAATATTATCAAACTGTATGTTATCATTTGCAAAGTGTCTTTCCACTAAGTATTATTTTAAATTTATCTTTTTCATTTATATAAACTGTACAGGCATACCTGGGAGATATTGCAGATTGGGCTCAGACCACTGCAATAAAGCAAGTCACATGAGTTTTTTGGTTTCCCAGTGCTTATGAAAGTTATGTTTACACTCTATTGAAGTCTATGCAGTAGCATTTTGTCTAAAGAAATAATGTACATACCTTAAAGATACTTTATTACTAAAAAAAAGATTTCAAACTATGATCTGAGCCTTCAACAAGTTGTAATCTTTTTGTTGGTGGAGAGTCTTGTCCCCATTGCTGAAGGCTGGAGTGGTTGTGGCAGTTTTTTAAAATAAGACAATGACGAAGTTTGACACATTGGTTGACTCTTCCTTTCTCAAAATATTTCTGTGTAGCATGCAGTCCTATTTGATAGCATCTTACCCACAGTAGAACTTCTTTCAAAATTGGAGTAAATCCTCTCAAACTCTGATGCTGCTTTATCAACTAAATTTACATAATAGACTATATCCTTTGCTGTCATTTTAACAATCTTCATGTCCTCACCAAGAGTGAATGCCATCTGAAGAAGCCACTTTGTTTGCTTATCCATAAGAAGCAGCTCCTCACCCATTGAAGTCTTATCATGAGGTTATAGCAATAAAGTTACATCTTCAGGCTCCACTTTAGTTCTCTTGCTGTTTCCAGCACATCTACAGTTCCTTTTTTCACTGAAGTTTTGAAGTTACTCAAAGACATCAATGACGATTGGAATCATCTGCTTCCAAACTCCTGTTAAAATTGATATTTTGAACTTGTCCCAGGTATCACAGATGTTTTTAATGGCATCTAAAAGGTGCCATTAAGAAAACCTTTCAGAAAGCTTTTCAATTTACTTTGCCCAAGTCCATCATGGAAATCACTGTCTGTGGCAGCGATAGCCTTATGAAATTTATTTCTTAGATAATCAGACTTAACAGTTGAAATGCCTCTTTGATCCATGGGCTGCAGAACGGATATTTGTTAGCAGGCATGAAAACAACATTAATCTCGTTGTACACCTCTGTTAGCTCTTGGGTAACCACTTGCTTTTTGTCAGTGAGCAGTAATATGAAAGGAATCTTTTTTTCCGAGCATGAGGTCTCTATAGTGGTGTTAAAAATTTTTAGTAAACCATATTGTTAACAGTTATGCTGTTGTGCAGACTTTGTTGTTCCACTAATAGAGCATAGGCAGAGTAGATTTAGCATAATTCTTAAAGGTCTTAGGATTTTCAGAATGATAAATGAGCATTGGTTTCACCTTCAAATCACCAGCTGTATTAGCCCCTAACAAGAGATTGTCCTTTCAGGCTTTGAAGCCTGACATTGACTTCCCTCTGGATATGAAAGTCCTAAATGGCATCCTCTTCCCATAAAAGGCTGGTTTTTGTCTGCATTGAAAATCTATTATTTAGCATCGCCATGTTCATTAATTATCTTAGCTAGATCTTTGGATAACTTGCTGGAGTGTCTTCATTAGCACTTGCAGCTTTATCTTGCACTCCCTCGTTACAGAGACAGCTTCTTTCCTTAAACTCAGCAGCTTCCTCACCTCTCTCAGCCTTCACAGCATTGAAGAATTAGGGCCTTGTTTTGGATTAGGTTTTGGCTTAAGGGAATATTAATGGCTGATTTGAGGTAGCCAGACTACTAAAACTTTTGTCATATCAGCAATAAGTTTGTTTCACTTTCTTATTCACATGTTCACTGGAGTAGAACTTTTAATATACTCCAAGAACTTTTCCTTTGCATTCACAACTTGGCTAACTGGTTTAAGAGGCCTAGCCTTTGGCCTGTCTTGGCTTTTGGCATGCCTTCCTCACTAAACTTATTCATTTCTAACTTTTTTCTTTTCTAGAAAAATACTTATTTATGTTGGCCTTATCAGGTCTTAGTTGTGTGGCAGCACACAGAATCTTCATTGTGACACATGGATGTGTGGGCTTAGTTGCCTCTCAGCATGTGAGATCTTAGTTCCCCAGCCAAGAATTGAACCCATGTCCCCTGCCTTGCAAGGCCAATTTTTATCCACTGTACCACCAGAGAAGTCCTCATTGCTAACTTTTAAAGTTAGAGATTTGTGACTCTTCTTTTCATTTGAACACTTAGAGGCCATTGTAGGATTGTTGATTAGCCTGATTTCAACATTTTTATGTCTCAGAGAATAAGAGGATCCTGCGAAGAGAGACTTTGGAGGAAAGGCTGGTCAGTGGAGCAGTCAGAACACACACAGCATATATTTTGACAGTTTGCTGTCTTATGAGTGCAGTTCTTGGTGTCCTAAAACAAGTAGAGTAGTAACATTAAAGATCACTCATCTCCATAACAAATATAATAATAACAAAAAAGTTTGACATATTGTGAGAGTTACCCAACTGTTACTCAGAGACACAAAGTGAGCAAATGCTGTCTTAAAAAAAAAATTGGCGCAGACAACCTGGGTGGAAGGGGCTTTTAGGGGAAAATGGATACATGTATATGTATGGCTGAGTCCCTTTGCTCTTCACATGAAACTACCACAACATTGTTAATCGGCTATACCCCAATACAAAATTTTTAAAAGTTTGGGGGGGGGGGGCAAATGGCGCAGATAGATTGTCTTGATGCAGGTTTACAACAAACCTTCAATTTGTAAAACACACTATATGCAAAGCATGATAAAGCAAGGCGTTATAAAATGAGGTATACCTGTAGTACGTTTTAATTGCCATAGATTATTCTGTTATAGAGGGGCTTCCCAGGTGACTCAGTGGTAAAGAATCTGTCTGCTAGTGCAGGAGATAAAAGTTTGATCCCTGGGTTGGGAAGATCCCCTGGAGGAAGAAATGGCAACCTGCTCCAATATTCTTGCCTGGAAAATTCCACAGACAGAGGAACCTGGCGGGCTACAGTCATGGAGTGACAAGAGAGTCAGGCACGACTGAACACACGTATTCTGTTATATAGAAGCAAACTGTATATTTGTTCTGTCGCAGATACTAGAGAATTTATTGTTTAAAGCTACTGCTACTTTCAGTAAACATTCTTGTGTCTTTCTCCTTGTTCACATTTCCATGAGGTTTTCTGAGAGGTGAGTTACTTAGTTGGAAGGGTATGCTTATCT